AGGACGACCCAATAATGAAGGAAGGCCTCACTGCGGCGCGCACTGGAGGAACACCACGCACTGGAACAGACTGGTCCATCAATGATGACCTCCTCCTATACCAGGATCGGGTCTATGTACCCCCAGATGAGTCTCTTCGCAAATGTCTTGTCTCCCACTATCACGACCTCCCCTCCGCAGGACACCCCGGTGTTCAGAAAACCCTCCTCGGCTTGCGCCGTGACTACTGGTGGCCGAGCATGGCCCAGTTTGTCGCTCGCTATGTTAACGGCTGTGGCATCTGCCAGCAAATGAAAGTTAACACACATCCAGCCCAACCGCCCATCACCCCCATTCGACCCCGCACAAATGCCAAGCCCTTCAGCACATTCTCGTGCGATTACATCACCGACTTGCCACCGTCCAACGGCTTCGATTCAATTCTGGTCGTAGTGGACCACGACCTTACGAAGGGGGTAATTTTCATCCCATGTAACAAAACAATTGATGCTCTTGGGACGGCAGACGCAATGTACCGAGAGGTCTACAAGTGGTTTGGGCTCCCAGACAAGATCATCAGCGACCGAGGACCGCAATTTGCGTCCAAAGTCTTTCAAGAACTTTGCAAAATGACTGGGGTTCAATCAGCCATGAGTACGGCATTCCATCCGCAAACCGACGGCGAGACAGAACGAGTAAACCAAGAACTGGAGATCTACCTCCGCTGCTTCACTGCCAATGATCCGGATAAGTGGGCTGACCATCTTCACACTGCGCAATTTGCTCACAACTCCCGCGAGCATTCCACGACGAAGACATCCCCATTCAAACTCATGATGGGATACGAACCTCGCGGAATACCCACCGCGCACCCCAGATCAAACACGCCGCAAGCAGCTTATCGCCTCAAGGACTTGCAAAACATCCGTGAGGAAGCACATGCGGCAATGGAGATGGCCCAGAACGTCCTGGCCAAGAGAGTAAAAAGGAAGGGGGGTTCCTTCCATAAAGGTCAGCTGGTATGGCTAGACTCCCGGAACTTGAAGCTGCCGTACCCATCCAGGAAACTAGCCCCGAGGCGAGAAGGGCCGTTCAAAGTCCTAGACAAGATCAGAACGGTCGCGTACAAGCTAGACCTCCCTAGCACCTGGTGAGTCCACCCCGTTTTCCACGAATGGCTTCTATCTCCCTATTCAGAAACGGAGATCCATGGTCCGAACTACACAAGGCCACCTCCTGACCTTATCGAAGGGGAAGATAACTACGAAGTCGAAGCCATCATCGGACACCGAGAGAACAAGAGGATGCAGCGCCGCAAATATCGCGTCAGGTGGAAGGGTTACTCAACTGCGGATGACTCATGGAAGCCCGAAGCAAACCTGACAGGGACTGCAGACAAAGTGCTAACAGAGTATAAGAAGAGGAAGAACTTGAACTGAGCCGACAGCAGCTCGACCCAGTCGCTACACCCCTACTCGTACCAACATGTCCTCCACCCTCCCGTTCCTCGACCAGTTCAACGCCCCCTCAACCGAGGGTGGAAAGAGGATTTCGATCTACACCCCTAAGCACACCCATGTCGGCGACAGCACATTGTTGACGCTACTTCTCAGTAACCCCACCGACGTCTTCAATAAACTCAAAACCCACCACCCTGAGGCAATCAATGCCACCGACCGCACTGCACTAAAAGCGTACCTCTCCACCCACCACGAATACGACAAGGCTGTCAAGGCAGCCAATGAGGCCATCAACCACCACAAGTGACTCCTACATCAACAGGACGACCGTGTCCTCACCGAGCTCATTCGACTTGACAATCTGAAAGTTGCCCATCGCTTTCAACTGCTCCTACCACGCAGCATCCGGGCGCAACACAACAAATTCATCTCACGTGCCATCCCCAACGTGTACCTACCCCTACCCGCACCCCTACCGATGTCTGCCTTCAGGTGCCCCCCGATCCTGTCCCCTTTTCTCCAAGCAACGCCGTGGAGCACTACCATCCCAGCTGACTGGCAACCCAACCCTGGTTGGACCCCGAAGGGAAGCTGTAGATGATGCGGATTGTCTCGACACTGGGTACGGGACTGTCCGGACACACGATGCACAAGATGTGGAAAAGAAGCCCCTGGACATCTGGAGCGAGAGTGCAGAACCAGGCAGATGAAGCGACACATATCCGCACCACCTGAAGAACCTGCGCAACGCATGGGGGTGGTCGTCGACAACATGTTTCTCGAAGGAATCATCAATGAGGCGAAGGAGAGGAAGGAAAGAGAGAGGCAGACGAAAGCAGTACCCATCCCTCCACCGCGCAGCGCCAACCCCAAACCCCAGGCCAGTCCCATCGTGGGATCCTCACATCCCGGCCCCAATACACCCATCGTCTTTCACAAGGTCGACCCCGATTGGACACCCGACACTACTCAATGGACGTGGGACAGCTCCTGGCCGCATCAGGAGCACCTCTCTGGCGAAGAATGGAAGAATGTGGGGAGGAATGCACGCAACGAGTGGTTCGATGAACAAGAGGACGACGGCGTAGACTGGGAGTTGTATGGAGATGGTGAGCAGTAAGTAGTCAAATGGGACTTCGACTCTGGTAGGGGGGTAATGAAACATTTATCTTTCTGTTCTATTTCTTGTACTACTAGCGCCCATACTGGTGCCTGTCTTAGCACTCACCCGCAGGTTGAACATTATGTAGCTTACATAATGGGGTCCGTGTGCACTTTGTACCTGGTATTGTATCACTACATTTCTTTCGTTACTAAACATGACCACACAGATACAGTGGTCCGTGCATAGCCGGTACTTGTATAAGTAGTTGTACCATCAGTCAGTCGAACCCTATGTTCGACCTAGTTATTCATTCAAGTCTCTGCTCCTCTTCGCTTGGGGTAGTGGTCATTCTCGACTTCCTTGCTCGATCTTCAGGACGACGTACTGTCCATAAGTCCTCGCTCATCATCTACGAGTCAGGCATCGATATAGGAGTCTAGACCATTGTATCATATACCAGGTGACACAAGTTATATATCATCTTGCCAATAGCCGCCAATATTGTACCTATTGCAATGATTGTGTCTATGGCCAAAGTGGACTCGCCTCTATAACCTTTTGGCCCCCGTGCTCCAATAATGGCACCCGATTACATTGATTGCACTGCCATGTATACTATTACACACCAAATCTGGTTTTGCTGATGTCATTACTTCTCGGAGTCTGTCACGCACTGCTTTTTAAAGCTAGAATAATTAGCCCACAATGTGTGATCGTGAAGTGAATCCCGTACCGATTGATTTTGGTCTTCAGCGGCAGTACTTTGAGCTTGCTTCCGTGTGAGTAGTGTTGTTCAGGGCCCGGCTCGGGCCCAAAGCCCTACTTTGGGCCGCACCTTTGGCCACCGGGACTGGCTTCATATTCAATCCAGGCCTGCATACTAGGCTCTTGTTGAAGCACGCATTCAGGAACGAGCTCGCAAGCTCGGGCGCGCGAGTAACCGGGGGCCGGAGGCCCCTATCGTAGTATATAACGACCCCGCGCGATGTACGTACCGCACGCGATTGTCCCTTACGGGCATCGCTACGCCCGTGGACAAACGCGCCCCGCACCGTTCGCACCGTTGTTCCAACAGCTCTGTGGCCCCTTGAGGGTCTTTCGAGGACTTGTGTTGAGCTATATGCGCCTCAGTTAAGCAGGGTTCGGCGGGCTTGGGCCTCAAAGCCCGATTGTGAACATCACCACGTGTGAGTACTGCAGACGCGTCACGGTACCGTAGCGCGTCTCGAGTCCTTACACGTGACCGCGTCACAGCCAGACATTGCATTGCGACACGCGATCAACGTTTCAATTCACTCGGATTGTATGCCACCTTATAAGCAGAATTGCTTGCAAATCGCACTCGCTATGGACGGATGAATGTCCCTTAATTCTGAGCTGAACGCTTCTCGCTGTATGCTCTGTCGAGGTCCTCAAGCATGCATATGCTGTGCTTATGATGGCCGCTGTCGTCGGCAAGCGATTTACTCACCAGGTTAGATCAGGTTCTAGGGCATATCACCTAGCGCTCCCTTTATCTATCCACCTCAGAGAGAGCTATCCTCAGAGTTCGACGACCAGAAGGATTGTGTTTACAGTGGACTAATGTGAGCCGCCTTTCTTTCTTGCCAAGGGTATACTGATGTACCGTGGTTAAAGTCAGGCATCATGGACGACGTGCCTGTAGAAATCTGGTCTCGTATATTCACCTGGGCTTGTACAGACAACGGGACTACTGGTCGCTCCCTTTCGCAAGTATCGAGATACATCCGCGATGCGTCGAGTGCTGTTCGGCTGCGTAGCATTGCTCTGATCGGACTCGAACAGACGCGGCGCTTCGCGGATCTGCTAGAAAGGACGCCACCCGAACTGCGTCGGGTTCGCTGCCTGTGCATCTCGCACTGCGATCCTCCAGCACCTTTCCAGCAGCCGTTGTATTCCTCCGAGGAGATAAATTTGATGCCGGTGGAGAAGCTTGCGGAGATGTTCGTTCTCCGTCAATACGATCTGGCGAACAAGGACCACATCGTCTGGAAGCTCAGGACAGCAGAAGGCCGGCCCGCACTTGTATCGCAGTTGGCAACAGCTCGCAAGGGGGCGTTCGCAGCTGCTATTTCGCACATCCTCCAGCTCATTGGAGCCAGCCTCGAGACCCTCACGTTACACATGGGTGCATACTATCCTCAGGCCTTGCATGACGTTTTCCTTCCGCGACTCTCCGAGCTTTCCGTCGTGGGATCATTCCTCTTGTCAAGCACACTCCTACATTCCAAGACCCGGAAGGTTCAAGTTTTGCCTTCTTTGACGCACCTGCACCTCGTCGACTGCCCCGACTTTCTTGCCGCCTTTGGAGGCCAAGTTCCTCGGTTAACACATCTACGCATGACAGGAGTGACACATCTGATGTCTCGGGCTTGCATTCCCCTCTCTGCGGCGTTGTCCGTACGACGAACGCTTCACTCGGACGAACCCCTCCAGGATTCAGCATTTCCCGATATTGAGCAGGTCATCATACAGCGTCCGATTCACATAAAACGCCCGGGAGGCTCCCGATGGGCAACCGGGTTGCGAGAGTTGATCGAAAGTGAGAAGGTTGTTGTGCTGAAGGCAGATAGTGGTCAGCCGTCCTATGGATTTCCCGAAGCACAGCGTGACTGGCTGGAGAGGAACATGGGCGAAGACGGCTGTTGGAAGGTGAATCGATCGAACGTCGACGCGCAATTAAGCTCACGAAGACTCGACCATCTCGGAGCCATAATGGCATATATGGCATAAGCTGTTCATCCGCGGTGATACACTATCCGTCTCGTATGAATAGAATCTGGATTGGCAGGATACTTCTTGTGCGTCTTCTTTTCGGCTAGGCGTATTCGGCGTACTGACAACAGAATGTGTCTGTTCTCCTCTACAAGCCCGAACCCGCAATTCGGATCTGCTGTGTATTTTCTTGATCGCGGATTGCCTAGAGCATCTGACGAAGCGTTGATGTATAATGCCCCCGATCCTCTCCCGATGACCTTCCGTAAGAAACCAGTGTCCATTCATCGGAAAATGCTTGTACGTCGCCGTTAGGCTTTCCATTTACCCCAGACGTTCCCGCGAACCTCCTGCAATCCACGCACCTCGTGTATCCATGCCGTGGCCAGCAGCGTTTATCTGTCAGTCACTCCATTGAACCGCATGCCCGGAACGCCTCCATTGGCAGAAGACATCTTCCGTGTGATATTGGCTGCGCTTGTCCGCCTTTTCCGCGACCTGAACTTCTCCGGGCAGAGCTGAGCCGACGTGTATGCGCGGCCTGTTGAGATGTAGAGTTCGCCGCCGCCGCACAAGATCCGTCCTAAACGCGAGACTTTTCTCGCACTGGTGTTCCCAGAGTGCATGCTACACCGTCGGATCTCCGGGTTCAATGTCGGCAATGCGGCGCTTAACTACTGAGGTGTCGCCGCGCCTGTGAGGTAGGTGGCGGTGGCCAGCGCTGCGTGCAGTCTCGGTGCCGCCCCCAAGGCTACCGGACTAACACTTGATTGTCTCCAGTGTCCCGGCGTCCATGTGTGTGGGACGTGCCTGGTTGTCTGATGTTGGAGTTTGAGCGTTGAACACCGGGATTAAGGAGAGCTCACTGCAAGCCAGGACCTTGATGAACAGCTATGTCCGGATATCGCCCTCGTGCAACAGCTGCGCGCAGGCGCCTCAGCACGAGGAGACTACGATGAAAGTTTGCATATGGCGTATCTGTCAATGTTTCCTATTGTTCTGGGGGGAGGCCCTGCAACGCCCGCAGTACGTCTCATCGGCATGGCGGGCTCAGAGCGCATTGCGCAATGTCAGTGTTCCCCCGGATCAGGAGAGAATGAAATCGTGTGTGCAGCGTCAATATCGTATCCTGTTCTATGAAATGTCTATCACCTCGCACAGCCCATGAGGCACAATACTGTGGTCGACGATCATTCACGGGCAGAACTTGCCGGCAAGAGACGGTGACCATCGCAAAGTATGTCAGAACTGTGTATAAGGTGGACCATGCTCTAACGGCACGCTCAAATAAGCTCGTACCAATTGTACAGTGTTATCCAATATATACATCAAAAGCGATAATAATAGAGCCTTCCCTGCATCGTATAAGCCTGTGCAAGGAACGACTAAACACAAAGAGAGCTATGGTATGACAACAGTGAGCAATTATACGCGACTGCGATACCAACTAGAACGAGAACGAAGTAGGGTGATGAATAGCAATGGAGATGGTGAATAACGGATGAGGACTAGAAGATCGAAGGTGAATCTGTGGATAGGCTGTACGATAGTAGCGAGCGACGGATTAGACGTCCACAAGAGAAAAAATCGAGAGCAAAGGAGCGAATTCTATGTCACATCTAACCAAAAAAAGCTGTAATGACTGTCGAGAATAGTACACAGCGCGGGTAGAGCGGTGATGTGATTACACACACAGCAAGTAGATTTTGTGCATTGCGCGCCGACAATTGTGGGGATTGCATGACCATAGGAGCCATACCGCCTGGAGTCATACCGCCTGTGAGCATAGCTGTACATCGAGCGGCCTGTTGCAAGCATTAGTCAGCGCTGGCCGATACAAGAGGATGATCGTCAGGAACGTACTATATACACTGCTGTCCTCTTTCAGACATCCAGGGGCAAGTTTTCATGCACGACGCGGGAGCAAGGCGACAACGCGGGTCTTCTTCACCTCCAAACCCGCCTTGCCGAAGTACCGCTCGGACTCGAACGACCACTTGAGACTGCCTGTTATCCAGTCTGCAAGGCCATCGACGTAGATCTCGACCTCACGGTCGAGTTCCGGGCCCCAAGACGGCAGGTTTTCCCGCAGGTAGTGGAACCGGTCGATGCTCTGCTTGCAGAGATCGCCGACAAAGTTCACAGCTGACTGCAGGTCGAGGCCCTGCTGGTTTTGCACGACGACGATCATGTTGTGCGTGTCGCCTATAATATCGATCCTTATTGTGAGCAACGGGTTTCCACGGCGCGCGGGACAGGGTGCCGACTTACCCTTCGACTGCTCCACGTTGTACGAGAAGATGTCCTGAAAACAAAAAGGACGCTTAGGTCAGCTGGTTATCCCCCGAACACGGCTATTCGAGACGAACATTCGACCACTGCAGGAAGGCGTCAGTACGGGAGCGTTTCCACAGGAGACAAAAGGCACGAACCGTGACCAGATCATTAGCGGCCTCACCGAGCCCGCGTATAATTGGGTGATCCATGATTTCCCACGGGAGATCGAGCTATTAGGCGCGGACGTCAGCGTGTTGATCCGGGCGCCTTCGGAAGCATATCTTACATTGTTCGCGTATTCAATCAACGCCCAGCACGGCTTGCAGCCGCTGGTGTCGCGCCGAATGGCAATGTACGATTCGAGGTCTGGGATGACGCCGTTCGCGCGGTCCATCGCCTGCTGGGTGACAGCCTGGAAGAACATGTCGAACGTCTCGATGAAGCGCTGCTGGGCACCGGGAGATGCAGTCTGGATGAGGCGGACCCAGTAGCTACGCGCCTTGTCAGCTTTACGTCGCAGGCTAATGGAAGATGTACGTACTCCTTGGTCATCTTGCCGACACGCGATGTTGGGTGCATATGCGGCTGATACAGCGCATCCAGAACTGACACCGCAGTGCCGTGCGTGCCCCGATCGTTCATCTCGTCCGAGATGTTGTCGAGGTGGAAGAGGTAGTTCATGAAGTCGCAGGACACACGCAATTGGGGATATCCAGCCAAAGGATAGCACATTGAAGTGAGGTAGCCAGCCTTGAGACCATGGAACGCGTCGCGCTTCCTGTCGCTAAGGTTGCCACCACGGAAGAGCCAACGTTTGGATTCGACGCTTGCTTGCTTCCAATGACGGTTGCATCGTACAGGGATAGTGCAGTGCGAGACAAGATCGGGGATGACAATCTTGGTAGGAGCGGATGTGGATGGAGCAGAGGACGACATGGCTGGTGTTATGCGCGGAGAGTCGAAGCGACAAAGGAAGGAAGAGGGATGAAATGGGCGAAGAGAAGGACTGAACACGGGACGCAGAGACCGGAAAGCGTGGAGGATTGGCGGAGAGGAAGGCGCGTTTTATATACGACCGCGCAACACGTGTATTTGTTATTGTTCGAAAAATCCCTGAAATTACCCTATAGGCCAGGCGCCGCCCGCGCGCGCCGCTGTGGCCCTGACGGAGCGAACAACTGTAAGTCGATCAAAATCAGTACTTCGGAATGACACAAGAGCATCATCGGCAGGATAGATCGCTATGTTTCAAATCTCGGTTACCTATTGCCCCACGTCAGCGAACAAAAAGGATTCGTCAGTACAGATTCCGCGAGATCTGGCGGGCGATTACTCTGTAGTTTATCAGACTTCAGAAGCACCAGGTGACGGGTCCGAAAATCAAGGACCACGCGCAGTTCTCATACCTCATTGACGCCCTTCTTTCAGTGCACCGTGCGAGCGCCACGCAGTTTTTTTGCCACGATGCGGCAAACGATCCTAGGATCCCACCGTCCAGCCACGGCGAGTCGGCCGCACTACTGCTTTTGGTAATCGCGTCGGGGGGGGGGGGGCGCTTCGGCCAAGACACATAGCCTTTCGGGCTCCGCGGCGCCTACGATCGCTTGTTTATTGTTGGGTGCGCGTGCTTGCGCAGTGATAACCTCCACTCTGACCTCGCATCGAAGCGCAAATGTCTTGTCTGCAGGCTTCTGGGCTGCATGATAATCTCGTTTCTTGGGCCAAGACAAACACAGGGGCGGGGGGGAATTGGGACGAGCTCCTCGAGACATCCCGGATAATGCCGAAGTACGCGACCAATTTGGAATGAGGAGCTGTTTGGCGCACAACGCTGGCGTCGGGCTATATGATCGTGAGAAGCTCAGCGGTACCGGTTGACAACGTAGCTCCGTGCCAAACAGGGCAGACATGTGAACGTGAACGAGATGTCAGGGAAACATTGCCTCGAACCAAAATGGTCAACGCACGGAGAGCGGCACTTGCATAAACCGGATAGCTTTTGCAGTCAGCCGAAGCCGCAGCGATGTGTTTGTTCCTAGTACCTGCACACCGAGCGCGCAAGGAAGTCCGTCGCAAGGCGTCGACCCGAGCCCGGTGCGCCGCATGGCGTCCATTTTGGGCGACAGACGGGGAAGACACTCGGCAATCGTCGATGACCAGGTTCCGGGATGCCGTAGTTGGGAACCTGGCACGCGCAGCCTGTCATCCCGACGTGAAGTGTCAATCGTGAAACTCAAAGAAGATCCGGCCAAATATGGAGATTTTGCTCTTCACGCACATAGTCTCTTGGGAGAACATTTGCGCCTCTCAGGTCTCCATGGCAAATCGAATGAAACACAGCATATACCGCAATGGACGGACCCAAGGAACCTGACATGCAAACATTGCGATCTCCGTGTGTACATCATTGATAGTGAAACCAGGATGTACGGCCACCTGTATTTTGGGACTAAAACTGTCAGTGACCCAGACGTCCGAGCCATGTGATGACCCGTCGTCTGCGGGGCGATCAGCGGTGCAAAGGATGGACGCATTTGCAAGACACTGTGAATACGGATCCCGCGAGTCCACATGGAGTCCTAGGGCGTCGGCAATTGGAAGATACCGCGCAGAAAGGCGGACAGCACACTAATATTGGACATCTTATTGGCGCGAGGACTCCGCGGCAGCGTGGAGTTTCTTCGAAGCGCCAGCCCGCCGTCAGGAGATGGTCATTCCGTAATTCTGAACAGTGGCATAACACTCGTCGACGGGGCACACGACGTCAATCCTTCTGGATTCTCTGTGGTAGATGCTGTCCCGTCACGATGAATCTCCGCGGGCAACACGTAGCTTCATAGTGTCCATCCAAGACACCCGGTGTCCAATGATCTCGTCTGCATTGTTTGTCTCACTTGTGTCACTAGTGCGACGCATCTTGAGACATGTTCGCCTGTCGCCACTGGCGACTCAGACGTCTTATTGTAAGGCACGCGCGGCTTCTAAGAAGCGATCAGCGTGTAAGACACGGTGTCATTGTCGCAGTCAGATAGCTATGGAGCGATTATCGGATACTCCAGGCAATGATGCACAACAGAATCCGTTTAGGGGCAAGAATGATGTCGCATACTAGGGGCGTTGCCAGAAGCGGGAGCGGTGGTTGACTGGTCCACCGTGGCTCGTGGCGCCCGGAAACATAAGACTGATAATTGTAGCAACTCATCATCGCATCTGTGGACACGGTGTCACAGGTACGATCTGGATCTACGCGGCGGGAAGGCGGCTCTCCGCCGTCCAAAATCGAGCCGGAAGACGCACAATGGCTAAGATAACACGATGCCACGTCGCGGTGCCAAACACGTACAGGGATGCGGGTGTAGGATCGCAGCGCGTTCCATTCCTCATACGTGTGGACACGCACCGGGAGATGAAAGTATGTCGAACAGGCGTGATATATCAGCTCGGAAGTCGTCGACCTGCGCATGGCACTGCATGCGTATGTGGCAGCTGCATCCTGCGGACTGCCATACGATGACGTTGCTCCGCTGTACAAGGATTCCAAGGGCTGTAATCCGCGCTGTGCAGGTACGAACAGTTCCGAAACTCGGTGCCGTCTTGAAGCGCTGACCCGAGATGCGTGAGCATGGTTTGTCCTGCGTGTAACTGAAGGTCATGGGAGTGCAGAGGACTTACGTCGCGAACCTGAACCTCCTCCAATTCGTTTCGCCGCTCGTACGATTCCCATAATCGACGGTCCGTACATGGGCATAGCCGCAGAAAGACGCCGCGAAGACATCGGAACGATCTTTGATCAAGCTGAAGCTGGAGGGTCGAAACCTGAGAAGTGACTCTGTGAGTAGGTATAGCCTACCACTAGGAACCTTCACGGGTATGTGTGAGGATTCGAAACATATCTGGGGTAGGGGGTGTTCGGCAGCTAGATGGGCTGTAGACATAGACAAACACGCACTCTGTGCCGACTTCCAGGAACATCCAAACTCGTCAGTTTAGGGCCTGACGACCTCACGGACTCCTTGACGAGCAAAATGTAGAGATTTTCCGCTGTACTAGGTTCTAGCAGACATCAGAAGCATGGCCTGGAAATGTTTACACATCATGGCCCATACATCATTCACATCGATATCGTAGTCAGGCGGGTACTTACCTACTTGCATTTGCATGTGCTCTCTTCGAAATCAGACACCCTTGTGTTCAGGACTCGACTATTTCGGCGATGCCTGTGAGCGGTCGAATCATAGCCCGGCGACCATGAGCTCGCTCATATCGAAGAGCCCTGAAGACTCCGCTGAAACCTCTAGACCTATGCAGCGTTCAGATGTCAAGCAAAGGCCCCAGATCGGATTAGATCGGCGGAAACGAAATACACAGGGAGACAATAGATAGTCTCTGGACCGATACGCAGTCGAATGTCGCTATGATTACTGGTATAGAGCGATATACGGTGAGAGTCGGTTAGTAGCTTCCTCTTGCATTGTACTATTCGCAGATATGACATCGTTTCAGGGAGATTCAGGAGGCGCAAGTGATCTCAGCCCACATAGGAGACAAAGCGGAAGCAATGATCTAGACGCCCATATGGCGTAGTAATCGCCCAATCAAGAAATTGTATTGCTTCTTTGGGGACTACTGAGGGTTTCTCTATTCTCAAGCGCTGTCAAAAGTCTTGAGAAAAGCGGTCAATAATAATCCTTGCATTAGTAGTCCTGTTTGCAGGAAGTCTAAATGTATTTTGGGCACATTTTGACAGCCTTGAATATAAATGCGTTTGTAAGTCGCCGGGCGTGTAAGGCAATTCCACATAAAGCTTATGCATTACGTAAGCTACACTCCAAAGACGTCGAGGTCAGCGGAAACCGCTGTCCTAAGAGCAACTTCCACCACGCCGTCCTCTTCATTGTTATTCTTATAACTATCATACGGTGCGGGCCTTGGAAACACGCGGTCTTGCGTGTACAAGAACATGTCTTCAGCTCCTCGACGCGTCTTTGGAACCGAAGCCGCCGACGAACAACCGCCGGGCGGCTCCCCTCAACGTCGCCGACTGTCGGGACGCGTGTCATTCTCTACTATTAGGCCGCGGACAAGCATTTTCGGACGCAGAAGGAGCACGGTTGACGAGGAGAATGGCGGCGATCCGACGCAGACGTCGGAGCGGCCTGCGATACCCAGTGCGTTGCAGCCGGGCGAATCGTACGCAACTCCTTTACCCGTGTTGTCCATGATCGTTTTGTCGATTGTATGCATGCCAGGCCAGGTCTCCGGGATGGACGGACTAATGTGTTTTACAGGCCATGCTTGGCGAGTTTCTTTCTGCAAACGTCTCGGCACCTTTCATACTCTTCATGGTCCAAGGTGCGTCTCACTGGTCAGACTTAACAAGACTCCGGAGATAGAACTCCATCTGCAGGTTTCAACCAATTTGAGGACGAGGCTAAAGTCGGGTACTGGACGGGCATATTGGGTATGAATGAGCCATGTGGTAACGTTGCCTTGCCTCTGACATGAAGCCATTAGCTTCGACGTTTTTCCTGACGCAATTCCTGACGTCTTTGCTCTGGGTGCGTGCCCCCCCCCCCTCAATTTCCTTTAAAGCCCAATTTTTACGTGTGTCCAAAGGCTACTGTAGCTGCCAAGCATGGGCAGCGCATCGTGCTGTTCATCTCGCTGCTCGGGAGCGCCGTGACGTGCTGCATATTTGGGACGGCGACGACACTCCAAGAAGCGATAGCAGTTCGCCTTATGCAGGGCATATTTGCCGGTGCGATCGGAGTGGCGCGTGGCTGCGTCACGATGATCACTGACCAGAGTAATGAGGGAAGAGCATATGCTATTCTCGGGTGCGTGGCTATACGCGCAGTATGCCATTGAAGCTCACCAGCTATGTAGTTTTTGCTGGGGCTTCGGAGGTGTTGCAGGGGCAATCGTTGGCGGATCGTGTGCGTGCTCCCCATGAGTCAGCTGTTCAGTCACAGTAGCTAAGAGTTCGTTTAGTCGAATCGCCCGCGACCAAATGGCCCTCCATCTTTGCAGACGTTCCCATCTTCGTCCAGTACCCGTACCTCCTGCCATGCGCTGTCGCGTCCTCGGTCACCTTCATTGGTAAGTATGATTATCGTGATTTTTCTTCTAGCCTTTGTCATATTATTCTATAGGTTCCATCTTGAGCCTGTTCTTGGGGCCTGATGGAGGACCCCGGCATGGCGCCATTCAGCTGCCCCCAGAGAAGGACGATGTTGCAAACGAGGCGAGCCTGCCACAAACTCCACTGTTCGAGGAATCCCAGCGCCAGAGCCTGTATGCGACCTTGAAGCACGGGTTGTCGGGGCGACTCTCAGGCTATTTTGCGCCTCGTGTGCAGGATGCACAAGAGAGCTCCTCGTCTCCCCCGCAGGTGCATGACGAGACGGTACCGATGTCGTCGACGCCTTCCCGCAGCAGCGATCTCGGGAAGGGACGTACGCTGTCACGCACAAGCCGGGCGAACGGGTCGGCATATGGGTACGGAATAAGGAGGAGCCGGCTTGCCAGTGGCTATAGCACGGCACCGCGGACGAGTATGGCGTTGTCTATCAGGCGCCGCAGAGACAGCAACTTCGATGGCGCACAAAGCTCAGTGGGCACTGTCACAGGCAATTTCGCGCAACGTCTGCTCATGGCGAACGAAAACGCGGTAACTAATATTGCCGATCTTTGGGTGGCGGCAGCGATGAACGTCGACAACGAGGATCCATTTGAGTCTGACTCTGACTTCGATGCCGATGCTGAAGCTCTTGATGAGGAGGGCTTTGGAGCCGCCATCGATGAGAACGAAGAGGAAGACGTTTTTGGGCCTAGTGCTGCCACTCCTGCCATGCGCCCCAACCGCTACTCGCGGCGCGAGTCTCACACATCCGTCCACTCGCAATCCAAACGCCCATCATTCTCAGCCACATGGCGCGCACCCCTGCTCGGCTCTCCGCGCCATCCGTCCAGTTCTGGTCGTCTGTCGTTTGCACGTCAGCGCTCATCACAGTTCTCGCCCGCACTTCCGGGCGACGAGTTCCCCACCATGCATCGCCGCTTGTCGACCACTGTGCCCTCCATATTTTCTCACGTCGGTGTGCGAACGCCACCGGCCGTATTGGAGGCTCAGCAATTGCTACAGCAGTTCGACGAACAGGGTCCTACGGACTCGCTCGCACCGATCATGGAAGGTCCACGAGGGGGCCAAGATCCGTGTGCACAGTCGGAAACGCTAGAGAAGGAACCGTCCTTGATGTCTCAGCTACCCATGCTCACCATCATTCAGTATGGGCTACTCGCCCTTCACTGCACGACACACGACCAAATCTTCTACCTTTACCTCGTATCGTATGTTTGCCAAAGACCTGCCCGCGATATCACCTGATTGACCGTATCACTTCTAACAGTAAATATCCCCTGGGCGGCTTGAACCTCAACGCGGGTCATTTCTCACAGCTAAGTGGGTATATCATTCTAACCACCGTGCCTTGATTCACCAATTGTGCCTCGCAGTTGCTCTGATGTGCCTGGCGCAAATTGCATACCAGTTCTATTTGTATCCGTGCGTGCCCTGCTCCGATAGTTACCGCTGCCATCGATCTGACGCTGTGATTTGACGACAGGAACATTGGGTGAGTTATGCCAAATGATACAGCAATGCAATAGCGAGAGATTACTGACTTCATGCGATCGTTCTCATGACAGTCCTCCCCGAGGTCGCTTCTCGCATCTTGCAATGTTCCGCATCGGCTCCCTCTTATTTATCCCCTCGTACCTGTCCGTTATTCTCTACCGTGTGCTCGCAAGCCCCGACACCGACGGGAATCCTGTTCTCATGGCGGGTTCGTATGACTATTATGGCTCTGAAACAACGCTAACTGCATCGTTGGTGTATCTTGCAGCGCTCGCTGTAAGCACGTAAGCCTTTTACACTTGAATATATAGCAATGTTTTGTATTGACGCTGTTTGTGTTAGTGCTGTAAGGTTCTGTGGAGGCACTTTCGCCTATACTGCAGTATCTGTACTGCTCAACTACAGTAAGTCCTAGTGTGAAGCTCATGATAGAGACCTAACCTTCCTTTAGTGACACCACCGCATCTTGTCGGTTTTGCCAATGGTGTCGCGCAAAGTATAGTCAGCCTTGCGCGTTTCTTTGGGCCCATATTGGGAGGCACTGTACGTCCTCGTCGTTCTTAATGTCCACAAAGCTGACATATTCACCAATCACAGTTGTGGTCCATGAGCGTCGAAAATGGACCAGCAGGCTATCCCATTGGATTCCTCGCCTGCGCCGCGGCATGCGCATTGGCCGTTGCACACAGTTTCTTCATTAGATGAGTGAGTCACTTGCCTCATTGAAGCGAGATCTATTCCCGTGATCAACATGAGCTGCCGGTCGTCTCCCAGTACCTTGATGTTCCATGTCCGGACAATATACCAAGTCTCCACCGATGTCTCTATAGTAATGTCTCCTCGTTCGCACTCTTGTACAATACATGGTATCTCTACCTTTGTCATAGATCAATGCAGCATGGACCCGGAACGAAATACAGAATAACCTTTCCAGCCATTGTCTGACACTTGCAGCGGGTGATACAACCGCGACGCTCACAATTCGCAATGATTTTGCTTTTTTTTCGAGCTGGTCACTTGTATAAAATATGTAATCCAATTTGAAAAAGTCTAAGTGCTGATCGTTACATTGATTACTTACTATACTTCTGTCCAGCATAGTTCGTGGTAAGATAAGCCCCCTTAGATGCAATATATACTGTAAGTGCTACTTTATTTTGTTGTCAATGACACTCACTCGAGCCTCACTCTACGACGCCAGCACATTATACTTTGACTCCGGCTCCTCAGTTGAACCGTTCCCGGAGTGGATAACCGATCCACGAGCCGGCCGAGGGCGCACGCCGTCGAAAACCGACAGGGTCCAATGCTAAGCCACAGCGAAGCTGACGGCATCCACAGTCGTAAGTCTATATATACTGCAAGTGATATACAGGAGCTTATGTGGCACATGATGAATATAGCTGAAGGAACACTGTCATCCTGCATGATCCAACGCAACCCCGTCATTTTCGAGCTCGTATTATGGCTTAATGAGGAAAGATAATCGACTTGGCAGTTTCGTTACTGCTCACGCCAATGTGAACGGTGGCTCCAATATCCATGAAGGGGATTGCTTAATGACTCTCTTTAGCTCGCCGAAGGTCATCCCACGCCAAGGCTTCCTCATACCACGAGTTCTAACTAATGCCGACTGTCCCAGTCTCGGGACGGTTTGCTATGGCACAATGTATAGCTGCACGCTATTTCGAGACGAATTTGCTCACGTATGACACCGGCGGTTTTACTGACGCAATAGTATATTTATGTGAAGCTTCATTCGACGAGCGGCACCTATGGTGGCGACAAACGTTTCATGGACGAAGATGCCCTGTGGTATCTCCCAGCCATCTCAGAGATGCAAGCAATTCATGACTTGTTGAACACTCCGTTTGCGCTAGAGTTCTGACTCACAATATGAACTTGACATCGACACGCCCAGAGACATAGCCTTGGCGACACCAGGCCAACGCGTGTCAGGCAAGCACTGATTGCGTTCAAACCTTCCCTGCACCTCTCCAAATTTCATGTATGAGCAATTCAGAGCGCTCGGTATGGCGCTCCGCGGAACACTTGCGTGCCTACCTATGCTCCATCTTGACAGGTGCGCTGCCACAGTAGATATCTCTCATGCTGTATATAGGACCCTTAAAGCGGGATTCAGAGTTAGATGAGAAGCGTCGCAGATACAAAAGCCTTCAGCGACCTGAACGAAAATTTTGAATCGCGCACTGATTTGACAACATGCCGTCACCTGAGGCAGAGGCCAAATTGTAGGAGCCATGATATTTCACCGTGCCTCGTCCGCCTAACTGTGCTGTATCCAGATGGGTGCAGGTGTATCTATATTTCGAGAACTACTCTTATTTTTCTGCCACAGGTGAGGACACTCCGTACTTCATCGCACCTTGGAGACTGACCTGCTATAACGTGACCGTAGCTTTATGCTGCTATGATTATGCCCTCACACTTGATCGCGAGGTTAAATACATGTGGAGGTCGAAGCAATCATTTGCCACCTTACTATTCTACACCTGTCGGTACTCGGCAATCTTGAACACGGCGCTGGAACTACTGACCCGGATGGCTTGGCCAAGCTGGCAGTCTGACAAAGTAAGCAGCGAGTATTCCATTGCATTTTCTTACTTTCTCGGCCGCTGACTATCGGGTCAGAGGTTAAAACGTCGACAAGATGCTAGACGGCTGAAATGTACTGACCTCAATATTCTAGCTGCGGATACGTTCAACGTTTACAAATGGGGCTGGACACCGCCATTTTGGTCACTACAACCAGTATGTACTTGCCGCTCTCGTAAATCTGCGCTGTGCCGAAGTAACGGGTGCTGCCAAAGTATTTGCGGCTTTGAGAGTATACGCCATATTCAGAAGAAACAAATGGTTGTTTGTTGCGGTTTTGATATCCGGACTAGTCAACCCATGCATTTCGGTCGTGAGTGACTCCCGAACATCAGCTCCGTCGGTTATGAACACCTAAGCTATAGTACGTCTTCACCAAGTCGAACCCGGCTCTGGACGATATCAAGGGCTACCAAGCATGTGAGTTAGGTATCTTAGGCAGTCAACATGCGTATGAAAAGTGAGTCATGTGTACATTCAGCGTATGCCTCGAAGTTGTACTCATAGTCGTGCGAATCATAGCTGTGCGTGATAATGGTTCCATATATTTCCCTGCTCACCTTACCGGCTCGGAGACAGGGATGATTGGTGCACGAGCGGCGTCCGTGGTCTCAGACGGCCTCGTCTTGGTTCTCACCTGCATCAAAACTTGGCAGCCGAAAGGAAACGCGGGGGCCCTAATGATGGATATCGGGACCACCATTCGTGAGATCCTGCTGAAGGACAGTAAGACTTGTTAATTTGCTCCCATTCTCGCGTGCTGACAATGTGTTCCCAAATTTCCAGCGGCCTTGTGTTTTGGGTCTGTCTGCGCAGAATTGACGACTTTCATCACCTGATATGTATGATACAGATTACTTTGCGTTGTCAATATTATTGGAATTGCAACTGGGCATTTGACACAGGTGAGTTCTCATGAATCGATCCGGGATGTGAATGCATAATTTTGCATGTTGCGACAGTTCATTGAGATTTGGACGACGTGGACAGCAATGTGAGTATATATTGATGCGGTGGCACAGTAGATTTCTCACTGGTATTTGACCACAGCTTGACCTCGGTTCTTCTATCGCACTTAGCCTTAGACCTTCGTGAGGTATCAGCAGCAGAAGGCAGCGGGAATGAAATGTTCTCACGTACCCTCCGCACTCTCAATTTCCGCCATGCAGAGGAATCGTCTGATCATCTCACGCCAAGTGACGAGAATCAAGCCGTTTCTGGGAGCTCCGTGCAGCATGCTGAAATACCGGTGATAGTGCTCGGAGAACGCTACTCACTGTAATCCAACGGTAGACGCAGAACCGGTATTTTGGCTAAATTCCATGTTCGTTGTTGTAAAAAGCCTGTCTTCTTGAGAAAGTAGATAATGATTAGACTATACAACCATCTCCTCACAATTTCCCTTATGTCTGAGGAGCACTAGTGGCAATAGCAGTAGGGCTCATGGCTTCATTGCAGTCATTTGATGGAGTATCGATGCGTCGACGCTTCAATCACGTGTTTCACCAAATCGCTAAGTTGCAGCTCCGGCCACTCCGAGTTGAACACATACCCGCTGCTTGACAATAACCTGGTCCAGTCACTGTCTATATCTTCTAATGATGAGACTAGTGTGTGTCAAATTAACATACTGGCATGATCATCTGCTGTCAACTGTCATGTGTTTGGTTCCAATAGCGCTGGCCAGGGATTCGTATCAATCAGTACCTTTCGAAGCCTCGGACTGTCATATCGCTCCTTAGATTAGACGGTAGCGGTATTCCATACAATACACAAATGCACACGGGAATATTGCATGTGAGTAAAATCTGTGGGCAAGGACAAATGTCAACATCTTGTGGATAGTCGTGGTCATCGGTGAGTCACTTCATTAAGAATACGTCGTATTATGTTGTTACTTCTTGTCCGTTGATTAGGTTTATTCGTGACAGCATCTCGATAAGGACGTGAGCGTCTGGCAGATTGTCCATGATTCTTATCGAGTGATACATCCAATTTATAGCTCTTCAGGCGTTTGCACAGGTTGACTACGGGCTGGCAATTGTTGACTGTGAGCTTCATCCTGTTTCATGAACTCGTCAATTCGACGAGCCATCGCTGTTATGGCAAAACTGACGTGCCGATCTGTGATCTTTTGTGTAAGGTATACCTACGACTGTCCAGGTTCGGCAGGCTGAGCCTCGCCTACTTAAGGTGGCCACTTATCTCAATCTCATGACTGCCAAATCACCGAATAGGGATTCATCGGACATCGTTGATGTTGCTGCACAAGGTTTATCTTCTATCACGCAAAGACCAGTGTACAGAAGAGAATCCCGCTTTGCGCTTGCTCGAGTCGTGAATTGTATAATTCGGCCGGTCGCCTCACGCTGCTTCATCGGTAAGCTCGACTATTCCCTCTCTCGTGAAGTGCGTCACATGCAAGACTCCGGGACGCGAGAACGTGACAGCGTGAGCTTGTCCAAGCCTACGTCGTTTCTATATCAGTCCGATGGCGCTGTTTGCTGAGTGCTTTGCTGAGTGATTCTTCTGATGTGAGAAAGGCCTCGCCTCCGTTCAGACGATCATACGCATTGGGCGACATCGATGTGTGGAGTAATTGCACACCGGCTGCATTCCTGGGTAGCGGCTGTGTGCTTCACCTGAGCGGTGGATCAATCTCGCCTGCTCCATTGATTTCGGATGTCCTGCAACTGTGGTAAGCATCTAACCCTCCCAATGACAGCCTGGCGCATATATATATACTGTCTCGCAAGTATACTCTGTGTCTCCAAACTTTGATATCAACAATGAAGCACACACCCGAGTCAGTCGCGGTTGGGTACGCCTGTTCATATCATCTCTTCATATATCATTCATACTAATGTCATCAGCAGATTTGTTCAATTCTATTTGGGTCTAGAGAATTATCTGTATTTTTCAGCCACGAGTAGTATTTCTGCATGCTTAGATGCCCAACTAGGACTAACGTTTTCCAAGCGCTATGCTGGTACGACTTCTTTCTTACGCTGGACCGCGAAATCAAGTTTGTATGGAAGGCGGAGCAATCACTGGCGACAATTCTTTTCTATTTTTACCGCTACCCCGGTCTACTCAATCTCATCATCGAGCTGTCAGGGCGAATGTCATTGCACAACTGGCAAACTGATGCTGTGAGTGTAGTTCTCTCATTGTGGGATCAATTTGACTAACCACGAACTTACAGAGGTCAGACCATGGTGTTATCCACGGACTACTGATTGTAAACTGTAATATCTAGATGTGGGGCTGTTCTCCACACCCAGATGGCGCTAGACCTCATGATCTTGATATCTTCGTCTAGTTAATTACTTTGTGTCTTGCTAACAACATAAAACGCTGACACAGCATTCCAGTCTTTGCCGCTCTGCGTGTGTACGCCATTTTCAACCGAGACAGGTTTCTCTTCAGCCTTGTGCTGATATCTGGCTTGATAAACCCTATCATATCTATCGTGCGTAGCTCATTGATATCTTCGTTGACATCAAGCACAACTTGGTTCAGTACATATTTGTTATGTCCGCTACCAAGCTGGATGCCGTCAAACAGTTTCAGGGGTGCACGCTAGACATTATCGGCGATCAACACCGCTATGAATTGTGAGATATTTTATGGTCTATTATGCAGTTGCTCCTTCTCAGCTCAAATGATTCTGCAGGCGTACGTGAAGTTCTTTCCATTTGAGCAGGCATCTAATCGGTCGCGCCAGTTATGATGATCGCAAGAGCAGCCTCAGTAGTGTCCGATGGCATTGTCTTGGTTTTGACTTGTGCGAAGACATTGAAGAGGGATAAGAGCCAGAACAGTATGGGGAGCAATAAAGAAACACTGAGGGGCATCCTATTCAAAGACAGTGCGCATACTCTTGTGTCCCCATGTGCATGTTCCTGACAGGACCGCGGGTCAGCGGCCATTTGTTTTGGGTGAGCTCAATGCACAGGTCTTTCACTCCACACCCCTTTAATGATGGATGCAGTTTGCTATGCATTGTGAACGTAATCGGCATTGCGACAGGACGACTGACTGAGGTGAGCCTGCGTGTGCGGTGCCCTGCCAGCGTTTCATCTCACAAAAATGTCTGCTAGTTCATTGAAATATGGACAATGTGGACAGCGATGTAGGATTCACGCTATAACCTATCATCTAGCTCACAACTCACGGTCCTCACTCACGGTCTTCCCGCCCAGCCTGACGTCTGTTTTACTCTCCCGCCTCACCCTGGACCTACGGGAGGTGCATGCAGCTGAAGTGGACAGCTATGAGCTATTCAGCCGCACTTTACGTGAACTGAGCTTTGCGTCTCCTGCTCGCAGAGAGGGGTCCGGGGAGTTGGACTCGGACGCTCTTGAGCTGTCTTATGTTAGCAAGATTGGGGCATCCGAGGTTGATACGGAGGCGTGAGCGTAGCTTCACTTGGAAGACCAATCGGATGTTTCACACGTTCTCAGCTATCGTCCTTCCGGGAACGATGATCACTGTCCGCTCACGTCGCTAGTACAGCGGTATTGCGAAAGGTTCTGCTGCTTGCATCGTGTTGACCAGCGCTAATGAATGCCGTCGGTCGGGTACCCGTCTGTACCCGTCCACCATCCACCGACACTCGCGCGGCCCGCAACGCATTCTCACAACCGCTTCTCCTTGTCTCCTGTAGGCGGATCTTAGCCCCTTATGACCTTTTTTATACGGAGGAGACGATCACAATATATAGCTTCCCCGCCTAATCGTTCCACTCGCCAACCATGTCCGCATCTGACGCTCCCCCCAACACGATACAAGCCGAGCTAAACTACTTCTCACCCCCCACCGATGGCTCCAAGCCGTACATAAACATCAACGCCGACCCAGCCACTGGCGTCCGGCAGCGCAACTTTGACTCTGAGCCGCACATCATCGACATTGAGAACATTCGTGGAGAGCAGGGCTCTGTCACACTCGATACTGCCGGCTTCCAATTCTTCCGGCGCCCCGCTACACACAAAGCCTTCATCGACGACAAGGCCGTTGAGACAGAGTATTACCCGGAGAGCATCGAGTTCTTGAAGGAGATCACAGGCGCGAGCCGTGCTGTTGTCTTTGATCATAGTGTGTCTACATTATCGCACTCACAGTCGAAACTGAACGCACGTACAGCCATCCGCCGCCGCCGCCCCGGCGAGGTCGAGGACACACCGCAGAAGCGCCAGCCCGTCCCGCAGGTGCACGTCGATCAGACGACGGCGTCCGCCATCGCGCGCGTGCACCGACACCTCCCGCCCGCGGACGCGCCCGAGCTGCTGCGTCGCCGCTTCCAGATCATCAACCTCTGGCGGCCGATATCGCATGCTGCGTACGACTGGCCGCTTGCGCTGTGCGACTTCCGTTCGGTCGACGCGAAGAGGGACCTCGTGCCGACGTCCCTCGTCTATCCGGATCGTGATGGTGAGACGATGAGCGTGCGTTTCAACCCGAACCACAGGTGGAAGTACCTCCGTGGCATGGGGCCGGATGAGTTTGTGCTGATCAAGTGGTGAGTGTTCTTGAAGATTTGGAGTTAGTCGGCTGTGTGATTGACGGCTTGGCAGCTTTGACTCGAGGACGGACGATGACACGGCTTTGTTGACGCCCCATACTGCGTTTCAAGATCCAACCACGCCCAAAAACACTCCTTATCGAGAGTCGATCGAGTTGCGCCTTCTCGTGTTCTATGATTGAGCTAGTAGGGCACTGTTCTATGAGCATCGTCATCGAAGTTTTCTTCCATTTGCTGTACGCATTATATAATCTGCAAAATCATCAGTATATTACTTAACCCGTGTTGATTGTCACCTAGAACCCGACGCACTCACAGCCATCACGAAACCATGATTCTGTTATCATGGTATAATTATAGGAAACGTTTCAGTCCGGAACATGCAACTTTGAGACACAGACGATGTCATATTATACAGGGAGGCAGACCGGGCTTCCGGTGTCCTGTTTGACTGGGATCGAGCGACTCACGGCAATTCCTATGACGAAGCCCACGATGATTTAGAAGATATAAACCTCGATATAAAGATCCGGTCTATCGAGATACGCCGAGTCGAATGCCGTTGATATGGGGGGAACCTATGTTCATAGCAAATGCACTGCAATATTCTGGCGGCCAGCCACTCCCTCGCTATCAACGCGTTTTAGAGGCGTTTCTAGTCTCCGTCCTCTATCGGTCTGACGAGGTCGTCCTTGACCGCAGGGAACTGGTCCCGTAAGGCTTTAGACAACATGACAATCCGAGCGAGTACTGCCGAGTAATGGGTCGTCCAGAGCGACAATGCGATACTGAATTTCAGCGAATCGCGCTCCATAGTGCGTTCCATCTGCTTCGCTGTCCTTACATTGTCCAGGGACGCTTCAAAGGACTGGAATTCAACTACTCACCTTTCCTTAAGCTATAAGCACTTGAGCCTGATCATTGTGTCATCCTAGAGCGAGCCGAAGGGACAAATCCTGTGATCCTGACCATCCCCAGGAACTGCATGGCCATCATGAATGCTGTGAGCAATCATACGGCCTCCTCCTGCGGCTAGCCATCCATGCAATGGCGCGTGACGAACAAAGATAACTTCAGAGTGCGTTCGCCCTTGCCGCCGTACATAGCTTGTGTAGTTGTAACATTTTAGCCTCGCGATGTCTACAGGCGTCTCTCCAGTCGAGAGACCTTGTATATGCCGCATGAGCTGAGGGCGGCCACCACGAGGACAAGTAATTTGGATTGCTCGAACAACTCGGATGGCGCAAGGGGGACCACTCCCACTCCCACGCGGCCTGTATACCACAGCGTCATTTACGTGCCATTGACGGAGGGTGCGAAGGACCATACGGTACGATTCATCATCTCCGTGATGTATCGGGCTGCAAGCTCTTCATCATGTTGCAAAGGTATCGTGACCATGAGCGACCGGAAGGTGGACAAGTGACCGCTACCGAAGAAACAATGCCGCTTCGGACCCAACTTGTCCATGTCATTCGAGAACCGCTTTCTCTTCATGGATCCTGAGTTGAACCTATGAGCAGAGGGAGGATTATTGCCATCAGACGAAGAGTTATCAGTCTTCATCAGATGTCTGGTTTGGCCAGACCTGATCTCTATATCTTGAGAGCGCAAACGGCTCTAGTTCACCTCTATGTGCTTCCCCGAATGCCAGCGAGGATCGCCAACAAGCATTTCACGAGTCGACCATGCAGCGTCTGGGTGGACTTCATGACTGGTAATCACCTTAGCATCGCGAACGTGGCGCGCGTTTCGTACATAAGCGCGGGGGTGGTCTGGTCGGTCCTCCAACATGCCTCTTCGAGGGAATATCTTCTCAATGAGGGTTTGCATGATTGTAGCGAGGTGGGTGATTGTTTCGCGTTCACTAGAGGTGTGTGGGACGCGTCAGCCAGATCATAAGGGATGATATAGCATGCAGAGCCGACCGGCGAGGGAATCAAATCGCAGTTGTCTCCCCATACCGCTTCGGCGACGATGGAACTTAGGGTATGCGAATAAGCTCATTAACTGAGACACTCGCGAGTATATGATAGACCTGCGCGTGAGCGGTCGGATTATGGTTGAAGATGTACGGGAAGATTCAATCTTGATTGACGTAGACGAGGCGTCCCAGATTCTCTTGTGCTTGCGCTCATAACTGCACCTGCGCCATAGACCACAACGGCGCAGCCAGATGGACTGAGCTGGTATATCATTAGCCACCACGACCAGATGCGTACCCAATAGCGTACCCGTGTAATTCTTTGATAGATTTCCATAAACATCGATGATAAGACGTCCGCGAGCGGCAAGCTACTCAGGGATGGCAGCTGTGATTGAGCTGAGTCTCCATATACCCCAGGAGCTGTACGTCATTGAACCGTTAAGGTCGCAGACTTGCAAAAGGATGAATGAAATATCAGGCACGACAACGCATCTATGTGAAAAGCATGCAGAGTTTCCAGATACTTATTGAAAGAATTTGACTATAATGCGAGAGTTCAGGACTAAAGAGGACCGCAGAAATCCGCACATGTCCGCCGATACATGCGCGTGCATTATTGCCCAGTGTGAGATGCCATTGTTTTGTGTGAGACTGGTTGAAGAGAAGAACCATCTCATCTGGACAGAGCACAATGGAAGGCTAATGTGAAACTCTGAAGTCTCAAGGCAAACGATTGGATTCAACACGTGATTGACGCGTCGACGCGTCGATACTCCGTCAGGTGACTATAGTGTGGCTATTATCCCCACCGGAGACATGAGTGAGACCGTGAGGGGATGGTTGTCTATTCTAGCTACTATTTACACCATCAAGGAGACAAGCGTTCCACAACAACGGAAGTGAAACATGACCAAAATATCAGTTTCACGTCTGCCATTAGATTATGGTGAGTAACATTCTCCAATCACGACCAACGGTGTTTCAGCATGCTTCACAGAGCTCGCCGAAATGATGGGACGCTCATTGCGTGGCGAGGTATCATCGGACTGCTCCTCTGCATGAGAGTGCGTAGGGTCCGCGCGAAACTTTTGTTCCCGCTGGCACGAAGGCGTGAGGCTCAGTGCGATTGAAAAACTGGGGTCAAGCTATAACAAAATGCCAGTATCCATGATTAGCTTGTCGCTCGTGAGCGTCTTGTATTCGCTGATGAGACAGTGGCTTAAAGGTAGGTACAGCTTACTCGTCAAAATGTAAGCTTCAAATAGGGCTGATACGCCCAGGCCAACCAACACAATTACAATGGCTCACGCAACATTGTCTAGCGACCCACCGTGACGTGACCCTCGACCTACAACATAATACTATCGAACACGCTGCCTCGTTTCTCTCTTCGTCGACAAATGAAAGACTTATTACGGCTACGGTGTGATCTCTGACACACATGCCTGGGGCCCGTAGTCTGGGCATCATGTCTATCAATATGGTGTATGTGCCAAGTGCTCTGGCCGGTCTGTATTTCTTTGTCCGAGCGGCTCATTTTCCCTTGTTTAACGCTCAGCTTCTATTCGCTCCCCTGTCGGCCCAATCTGACGCGGCGGCCGGGGTCCATCATACATGACTCGCATTTACATCAAGACCGTACATTCTGCACGTACAAAGACTTCGCTTTCACGACATCAGATAGAGTCCAAGTAGCTGCATGTCCTATCAGTGTGCAGGGGCGTTTTGTTTGCCAGAACAAAAACATATTTTACGGGCGTTCTCGGATGTTCTTAATGTGTTGATCTCGCTACCGCATGTCAGATTCATCATTCTAGCCATGAAAAGACCGCGTCTATGAGGATCAATCGGCGAAGTAGGTTCATCCTGCTAAACTCAAGGTTACGGCTGCCAAACAACCTTTGTATTGCGCATGATATGCTATCGCTTCCCTTGCAGACTCGTACACTCACCGAACCCCCCTACAGCAAACGTTTCCTCCATGTCAGCTGCGCTTATAGCAGAAATCAAACAGGAGTGAGTGAGTCATGGTACTTTGAATGCATGAATTGCCTAACTTTTCAATTTTTTCTAGCTACGTAGAGAACTGCCTCTACTTTGCGGCTACAAGCTTATGTTGCTATGATTATTGCCTCACGCTTCAACAAGAGATCGACTTCATATGGAGTGGCCGCTTGACCTTCGCCAACATACTGTTTTATTGCTTTCGCTATCCCGCGATCCTCAACACAATCTTCGTCGTTCTGGGTTATGTACCATGGCCAGGCTGGCAAACATCACGGGTGAGTGGTTCCCTTACCAGCGAGTTGCTCCCTCACATAGTGACTGGTCTGTAGAGGTGAGTGTGTTATCCCTGGCTATGATACACATGGAATGCTGAGGTCCTGCCGGCGCTCAGTTGCACGATTATAATTCGATTTGAGATGGCTGGCGATGTCTTGATATTGACAAGCTCTGCATGTGCGTATACATACTTCTTGATTACCCAGTTCAAAATACTGGATGGCTCACTGCCAAACTAGTATTCACCGCCATGCGCGTATATGCCCTATCCGGCCGTTCCAAAATCCTCTTTGGCATCGTGTTGACGCTGGGATTGGTTGCTCCTGTCATATCAACGGTGCGTTGTGGTGTCGTCTGGGGAACTGACTTGCTCATGCTAACGTTCCTTGCTTAGTATACCTTTGTTGTGTCGTACCCGATATTACAAGTCGTCACGCCGACATACCAGTCTTGCGACATATACACACGCTATACCGTCAACAAGTACGCCATATATTTTTCTTGCCGTGCGCTTTATTGATGCTCGTGATGGTTTCAGCTGTAAGCTGCTCTATGTCCGCTGTTACGTTGCAGGGTACACTCTAACATCGTGCGCTGGGCCTGGACTCTGGCAGGGATGATCGGTACAAGAGTGTCGTCGCTGCTCTTTGACGGACTCGTCATGGCACTCACCTGGGTGAGAATACGACGGATTGCGGTTCCTAGTAGTGACGCGGCTGCTAGCAATAGCCTACAAGCTGTCCTTATAAAAGATAGTACGTTAAACATCTGTATAGACTCCCGCTCATGCTGATGTTGTATACAGCTGCGGTCTATTTTGCGTACGCTGGCTTCATAGGATAATCAGGAAACCATCTCAACCTTCTGCCAGGTTTTTATTGCTTTTGAATGTCATCGGGGTCGGGGTTGCTGTGGGCCACTTGACAGTATGTCATTCGATCCAATACATCTTATAACGCCGCTGATGGAGGTGCAAGTTTATTGAAGCTGTATCAACATGGACGGCAATGTAAGTAACAGCGTGATGTATTGTCGAATGATTTGACAGACATTTGCTTACAGCCTGACATCTGTACTACTGTCACGCCTAGTGCTCGACTTGCGTGAAGTCACTGCTACCTTCGGAGAAAGCAAAACTACCTCTATATCTCAAACTGTCAGCGGCCTGAAGTTCGTCCTGTCCTCAACGAGCCCAGAAGACATCCTAACGGACGAGTTCCTCTCATCTGATTCTGTGACCGTCGAATCTTCGATGCAGGATGATCTGACTGTTCACATTACCGGATAATGACACATCTACTTGTTCAAACTACGAATGACGACCAGTGACCCACGTTTTAAACCGGCCAATGTCGTGATTAAAGTGATATCAATATATGAATCCATTCAACACTGTATGCAGTATATTGTGTCGTCTCTTTTACAGACTGTTGTATTACGAACTGTATCAAGAATTGGGGCATCTGAGATTGATCAACATCTTGTCGACATCTCATCTTGTTAGCAACGTCACCGGAGACATCTGTAATGTTGTTCCGTGTCACGAGAGACGCGCCACTCCATCTGTCATTCAATGTTCGCTTCGCAGGGCTCCTTGAACTCGAAAGTAGTGTGGCTGCCTCACCAACATCCGCGTCCACGTTGACGGCCATACAGTCCAATTTCGTTACCCTCGTTTACTTTCCGCTGCTGAAATACCCGGGGCTCAGTACTCAGCCGCTATACTCCAGCGCACTGGCACTGAAAACATTACCAAAGACCCTGAATCCATGAGAGGGTATTGTTTCAAGGATCACAGTAATCGAGAACGAGTGTCTAAGCCTCTAAGCCGGCTCAATCCCCATCATTCTGTGCGCTCCATGACATCCATTCATCTCTCATGAAATCCCCTGCTCGGATGCCCAAGATATTCGACAGAAGGTGGGAAGTATTCAGCGCATCGCGCGAGCAATCTTTCTTCTCTGAATGTTGCTTCTGAATTGCTGTCCTCACGTCTCGTCAGTCTCCGTACCTCATCACTTCCACCCATTTCAAACTGATATTCCAATACTCGTTGAGCTTGAGCGGACATAACACTCATTTCGCACGCAAATGCCAGGAAGGAAGATAAGGACTCCGGATTGCGAATGGGCAGCCTTTCGACGCTGATGCCGTGTATGGATGACTTCCGTGTTTCCTTACTGCGCCCGCACTGTATCCCGGATCTTGATATCTTCTCCCGTGACCTTTGGCGTTCCGCACCGCTGCAACGATACAATGCCAGCAGCGCTACTGCAACTGGTCCCCAACCTAAACCTTGAAGACCCTGCAGAAGCTAAGTACTGCCATTGTAGACATTAGTGGCCCACGATAGACGCTGTCACGCTGATATGTTTCATGCAACACAGACCTTATCTCTTCTGCATCATGTAGCAGAGTGCCTGAAGTTCCTGAAGGACCTCAGCTTGCTGTATACGAACCGACTTTCACAGCGGGCTCTTGCGAAGCTCTATATCATTGCAGCCAGCGGGATTTCATCATCATGCGCTTCGCACGTTCACTCGATATGTCCCAAATATAGCCGCGCACCATATAGTAAACCGTGGGCTTGAGTGCCGTCCAAATGCCATTCCAGCGCAGCTCTGAACGTCCGAACTATGGGGGGGGGGGGGCGTAGACAAATTTGTGCGTGACTGCTATCTTCAATGCTGGAGAGCGTCAAGTATTTTCCGTCCGTCATGACTCAGATATGCATAGTCGCACTGCGGACACCTCTAAGCTGGACTTTGTTTGCGTCGACCCATGGGGGCGCGACCTCGCAGCTTGCCGTGGGGACACGCGCTTGGCCATGCCACCATCACGCGGCCTTTGCGGCAGGCCCCATCGCGAATCTGATCGTTTCTCCCGCACTTTCCTACCATCTTCCGTGATCGTGCGATTCGCTGATTGGTGACCGGTGATCTCTGAGTGCAACACAGCATCATCGGCTGGCAGCCACGCCAATCCAAGCACCCGTTTCTTTGCATCCTAACATGACCACAGGTATGTGCTGGTTGCAGTAACATCTCGGAGTGGGCTCGCGGAGAAGACAGGCATACATATATATCGGTGGGAGTGGTAACGGCTGCCCTCGATCTGGCCTGTTGATTACCGACCATTTCTTGCTGTGTCGCGGCGCGCACGATGTCGGCGCTGGGTGACGCCGAATATCTACAGCAAATGTGGGTTCTTCCATGCGTACGGGAGCTACTAGTTTTCGGCTCTGGTACGGGTACGCTAACACACTGTAACCTGTTGGTCTACGGTACAGGCACTTTCAAAACATTGCATCTGCAGCCTGCATCAGTACGTTCGCTGTCGATCTTTGAATAAGTCGTCGGACTGATGAGCCACTCTCGTACATAGCTGTATACACGTATGAGCTCGTCATCACCATCGACCAGCAAGTGCGCTTCTTCGTGCGCCGACGCTTCTCCGCCGCTGTCGTGCTGTACACATCGATGCATGTCTCGGCGATAATATTCCTGTTGTCCTGGCTCTTCGGCTGGGTGCTCCAGGACTGCCACAGCGTCTTCATAGGCAATTTGCTCATGCTTATAATGGATGCGGTGCTGCGCCTTGTCTTTGGAGGTAGGCGTGCCGGCTGTCTTGACCATTCTAGTATCCACTGATGCGACAAAGTGGTTTCCGGTTTCCGTGTGTATGCGATCAATGGGCGGAAGTTGCTGCTGCCGTTCGTCATCGCCGTGCTCTACGTCCCAGATATTGTGGAATGGACAGTCAGTCTCCTCCAACAGTACGCTACGCCCGCTGCTGTCGCTGATACTGTCTACGATTAGTGGCAGGCATCGCTACAGACCTACACCAAGGACCCGGTCATAGGCTGTGTGATCAGCTATAACCTCTCGAAAGACGTGGAGGATAAGTAGGTTTCAGACAAGTCTGTCCCTTCTTCATCACTGATCATGAAGTATAGACGTGCGGCATATTAACTTGACTCGTCGCAGACGCTGGTGCTAATGTCACACTATATTCTAGTGACGGCGTTCACGCAGACCTGCATCATCGTGTCCGAGCTCTTGGTTGTGGTGGCTATTTGGCGGGTAACGTATGGCATCAGGAAGGTGACCATGATGGCACAGTCACGGCTGACTGTCACCACGCTGTTGATACGCGACGGTGAGGTTTTCTTTCAGGTTTCGTAGACGTCAGTATACTCAACCTAGTGCGTGCATATGTACAGGCAGCATGTACTTTGTGTACGTTGTCACCGTGCAAGATGAGACGGCGGGATGGAATCTGACAGAAAGCTGTGCAGTGCCCTGGTTATCTGCAGCTTGTTGGATATCATCGTTGTCTATCGTACCGTGAGACTCTCGTTCAATCTGCAGAGGCGGACGGCTTACACTACTACTGCTCAGTTCTTCCCATGGATAGGCTCGATCACGACGACGTGCGTGTCGTCTCCCGTCTGACATAGCTGCGTGCTCACAGCCCACGCCCCATAGCATCACGACGATCCTCATCTCGCGCATGTTCCTAAATTTATCAAGCGTATACTATCCGTCTACGGAGCTAATGTCGGCGACTGCGACGCGTCATCCCACGGATACGATGGACTTTGGGTCGAGCGAGAGGCCCACGGATGCGTTCTCGACCGACGCGGAGATTTTGTCCGACGTGGTACTCGATGGTGGAATAGGCACGGATGGATACGTCCTCGAGCTGCACGGGATGACGAGCAGCGGGAAGAGTTACGGCCCGTCGGAGTCGAACGAGACGGGGCAGTTGGAATCTGTGGCTTGACTACTCAGCGGGTTGTCGGGTTTGAGACACATGTGGTGAAGTCTTGGCTCATCATTGTGTTTCTGTGTCACGCTGCATTGAGGGGGAATGAGATGGTGTATCAAGGGAACGGACCTTGTATCATGTTAGTTGCACGATTTTCACGCATGGTATAGCAATAGCATCTTCATGAGAGCGTCATTTTATGCGATCCTCGTGTACAGCTTCAAAAGAAAGTGCGTGTCAGCCTATTGCGATACAAAATACGTGTCATTCGAATCAGAGTGAGACCATGAAGTCTCTATCCCGCTTCCAGCACCGGACGCGGTCTTGTTTTCCGCTCTCCTTCCATGCTAGCACGGAGAGTAATTTCACTTCTAATCTGTGCGCTCTGCGATACTTTTGTTGGAAAACGTGAACAAAAACGATGGCTCACCATATGTCTGTTTGGTGCTTGTACGAGATGGTTCAAATTGGTCGCAAAATGGGTACGGTAAATAGTGGAAAGTCCGACGCCGCTGATGTTCTTGGATGGGAGAATATGATTGGCCGACATGCCATTATCGGCGATCGAGTTTTCGACAGTTTATGAACGCTAGCGCCGAGATAACGATCGGTTACCCCATTTGGGAATCGTGGGTAGCTGCAAGAATGCGTCACTGCGGCCTTTCACGCCATCACCTCTGGGGAGCTGGTTTTCTGTCAATATCCTTCATTCCGCGTCAATCATCACAGTCAAGTCTGCCACTACCAGCGTCATTTGATGCCAAAATCTATGTCAAATAGGTGGCCCCGTCATGTCCCCGGCGCCATCCAGCGTAGTACGCGTAGCCTCCACCGTCGGAGCCGCTGAACATATCATCGACCTATTATGCCAAATACTGCTTCTTGCACTCTGTTTCTTCTAGCATTATGTCATTCAGGCTTGCCCCTGCTTCGGTGTAACCCGCTGTGTCTCCTCCGTTCTCTGGGTCTGCGAGCACATACAAGCTCAGAAGTCCTTTCACTTTGGCATAGGAATTGCATGTCAAGCTTCTTCCATTCAGACGTTCACATGGTTCCGTACGCTCTGGCTCTCTGAGCACTGTGTTCTGTCTTCTTGCACCTGCGTTCGGCGTGCACGTCTTCCCGGAAATGTTTTCTGCATCGTCACATACTTCGGTACTCTACCCACTGGACCTGCCTCAATATGACCCATCCGCCCACAGCCATGCAGACCACTCCCTCCCAGACCCCCGGGTTCACGGCGTCCCGCACGGCATGGTACACTCATTTCGTGTAGACCCAGTGCTGACAATTTCCGATGGCTATGCTCTGGGTGCGTGAAATTTATTCGGAGGAACACCTACACATGGTGCTGATGGACTCGCAATGCTAACAGACGTCGACGCGGATATGGACGCTGGGGACACACAGCCGAGTAACGATGCGCATATAGGCACTTCCGCGGATACTAATCAACGGAAGGCTCCTGGGGCGAGCGTTATCACACCTGTGCCATACGGGGAGGGCATGGTTGAGGTTGTATGGAGCCTCAGAAGTGTCAACGAAGACGAGCCCGCCAAGGATGAGGACGACCACGACGCTATGGACAAGCAGCAGGAGCCCGACATCGCACAGGACCCTGGAGGGACGCAAGTGGTAGAGCAAGCGTCTACAGCAACGACGATCGTGGAGGAGGCATCTCCAGTCTCTGCACCAGGAGATGTGCCGGCGTCCACCTCTGAAGCCTCGAACACGAGCCTGCTACCACCTCGCATGCGCGGCCGCGTTTCAGAGGCGCACACCGAGCGGCGCGAGAGCACACGGCTAAGGCAGAAGCGCGAAGCGCCTACTCCGCCCGCTCCCGTGCCTGGACGGGAGAAGCGCAAAGCCCCTTCGCGAGACCAGAACGCGGACCCCGCGCGGCGAGATGGCGTGTGCGAAGAGGAGGGCGCAGAGGAGGGCGCGGAGAAGGACACGGAGAAGGAGAGGGATAGGAAGCGTATGCGGCGGGCGCCGCTGAGCTCCAGGAAGAACACGGGAGCGTCGGGGTCCACGGACGACGGTCTTGACGACACCCTTTCCCAAGAAAGCGACATCGTACGCGGGGGTGAAAATGCGCAGGAAAGTACGAATGATGCGCGAACGCACGCATATATGCACCGTGTCCTCGAACCAACCCCGACGGCGCCGCGTCCGCATTCTTTCGCGATCCATCCTGCTTATCCTACTCGCGAGGCCGGCTCGAGCTCCCCAGCCCACGCAGGCGTGTCGTGGCAAGGTCGTAGGATACCGAGGCTTCTACTGCGAACTCCCGACACGCTAAATGCGGGTCTCGGCCAGCCATCACTTGCGCCCGCTACTACCCAGCCATACATCCATGGTCCGCAACGCTCCTTGAGTTTTCCTCGCCCTCAATCAACGCCAAATATGCGCATACACCATCCTTCTTACGGCGCTCCTGCCAGCAGTGCGGGTGCGCACGGCACTCCCGAGGCGCAACTGCAGTCCGTTCAAGTTCCTGGGACACGCCTCTTCCGCCTCAACCCCGCCATCGTGAGGTCTCCATCGGGTTTTGGCTTCTCTAGGCCCCTGCCAGCGGATGCGATCACCCCCGTCCCGGCGCAGATGCGGTGGGACGCGCAGGAGCCGGCCTCGAGCGAGGCGTGGCCGTCATCGGGTCCTCCTGGTATTGGTGTAACGCAGAGACGTTTCCCTACACCCTCCCCTGGGATGATCCAAGGCTCTGCTCCTGCGCAGAGCTTGGACCCTGTGTCGCCCTCCGAGCCTATATATGCGCGACCGCAGACGCTCATCTCGACACCGACACCTCGCTCCATGCTCTCTTCAAGCGCGAATATCCCTACGTCTAGTGCTGGACAAATGCCTGTGCCCATCCCCGTCCAGACTCCCATGCGTCCACGACTGCGAATACAGACACCAGTGCATGGGCCAGCCCATACGTCGCCGCTGCCGCTGCATCATCCTCCTCAGCAAGGTGCTCAGGACCCACTACAAGAGACCCTACCAGCGCCGGTTCGCAGGAGCGTACCCACTCACACGCCCGCCCCTCACCCCCACGCCATGCCACCGCCGATGCATGTGCATACTCAGCCAGCATGGTCTATGCCGATGCGCACTAGCTCATTCGGTCATCCGGCCGCGGTGCCTCAATACGCTCGTCCCATGCCAACGCCAACGCCGGCTCCCAGAACGGCGGGCAGCGACCCTGGGCAACCAACGGGACCTTGTTCTGTACCCCCGACGCCCATGCCTGCTATTAGGCCCTTACCTGCGCTAACACCAGAGGCGGGCCCTGTACCCCTGCCGTGCTACTGGCCCCCGCCGGGCTCTGTACCGTATCCGTACTATCCTGCACACCTGGCCCCGCCGCCGCCGCACTATGCTGCGCAGCAGATGGCTCCGCGTCCCGGGTCGGAGCCTGGATGGGAGTCAACGTTTCGCGCGCTGAGGCAATCTGGCGGGCGGCGCGCCCCACCGGTGAGGCGAAGAAGACAGGCCGTCGCAACGGTCAATGCGGCAGTCGCGGAGCCAAGGTCTGAGGACGAGCGCGCGGGTGGCGAGAACGCCAGCCAGAGAGACGCTGAGGAGCGCGTGAACAGTGATGCTGGGCGGCCGGGGTCTGCACCGTCCGAAGGTGCCTATGGGAATAACATCTTTGTGGGTTCTGCGCAGATTGAGGCGGCGTATCATTTCGACAGGCACCCAGAGTTCGGATACATGCCCGCGATGGCAGGTTACTGGCCTGGACTGCCCATCGGCGCGGATCCGAAAGGTGTGCTTCACTGCCCGTTCTGTCCAAGGACGTTCCAGCTGCCAAACGGACTAGCGATTCATCTCAAATGGCATTGGGGCGATACACGGTTGGAGTGGAGACGCGGTGTGTTGAGCGTATATCTCATCTGCGTGTTGTGTTCTTATGGATTTGACAGGTATCAGTAAGACGGGAAAGACTATTTCCCGCGCGCTGGAGGATGCCGAGGCCCGGAAACGCGCGAGCGAAGCCAGAGAACAGGAAGAAGCACCAGAGCTTTGTGGCGCACAGCCGTCTGGTGCTGCCATCGACAGCGCTGATGAACAAGATCTGGATGTGGTGATGCAGTGCCCCTCGTTGCCTGCCAACTATCCATCCGTGCCACTTTCTGCAAACACATATGCCACATCGACTTCGTTTGTTATGCCTGTCATCGCGCTTGCAACGCCTCGAGCCGGATTTGGTTTCCCGTTTGCTTCTCCCGTGCTGCGCGCAGGCGACGCGTTCACAGGGCCCTTCCTCCCTCCGATTCAGCCTGTGGGCGACGCGTTCGAGTTCAATTTTGGGGAGCCTGCCTATGACACGCATGAACGCGACTCGTCGGGGTCATTGTTTGGGGGAGAGGACGACCTCGACTGGAGTCCCGCGGTGTCAATCAGAGGAGACAGAGACAGGGAGCCTTCATGGAGTGAGAGACTGTTTGGGCCCGCGGGCGGTGACTACAATGAGAATGAAGACGAGAGGAACATCGTATGTCTCTCATCCGTGACGTTTGCAAACTCCTAATCCGGTACGATGGTATATTATAGAACATGACTCCAGCGGATGAAGATCGACAGCCCTCCCCAGTCGGCTCTGTCGCTACCGACAACGATTCTGGACTGTCTCCACTTGCAGACTTTGCATCGCTTCAACTGCTTCCTGAGCACTAGTTTGGGGCCGTGAGCTGAACATCATTGTAGTTCGTGTGTACGGTTGCATTCGCCTTCGTCAGCATTCAAAACGCTCTATAGATTAATGATACCCGGGAAAGCAGTCACCTGCAACTCATACATTACACATCTCGAGCTCATTCCTCGATGTCTTCATAAATCGCTGTAATTTGTGCTTGCAAGTCATGTAGCATATCAGCCTCCTGTTTTACCATTTTTACTTCCTCGATTGTTATTTCCTCATCACTTGTAGCGTAGGATCAGCGTACGATGGGATTAATGTTTCGTGAGCTTCGTGGACTACATATTTTCGAACCAATCAGTATCGAAGATCCGTCAGCTTCATGTGAGCAGACCACGTTCAGTACTAGTATTTGAAGTGTAAAACATGATCCTACGCCCCCTATATAGCCCGCTAGACGCTAGTGTAATAACCCACCCAAAATGTTCAAATACTCTATAAGTAGAGAACACCGACTCAGCGTAAACTATTTTATATTGAGTTTGCGAAAGAACAGTTATATGAAAGGCGTCGCCGGTATTTCGCAGAACTGGCGTTACTTTACGTTGATTCCATCTTCACCGTCCCTGCAATATCGGCTTTTAAGTCGCGCGTTCTATTAGAGCATGAGATAGCCAGATGAACCTAGAACTACGACCATTCCGGATCCTCATGCAGCCCCTCAGTGCTATCAAGAATGTCCGTCGAGAACGTCACGATCACGCAGGAGCTCTGGGACATCTCTGTTCGACTCCTCTCCAGCAACGACAGTTCGCGTAGGTTCAACATCAGACGCGACAACAGAACAGAAGTAAGGCTGCGAAGAGGCCATGCGCCAGCCTTCAGTTATACACATCAAATTTAAAATGATGCTCACATTGCTGTCCAGGTCATTATTATTTCAATGGACTGCGGCATTTGTAAACCGCATTTAGTTTGACTCCACTGCACGATCGGAAGAGCTCACCGTCGTGATATGACCAACACCGATACCGATTAAGTTCAGTGTGAACAAGATGCTATATGCCTATTGGTACGATCCCTGTGTACCATTAACTTATGACGGGACTTGCCTAAAGTATAGCAAGGCTAGACAGCGCGTTAAAAGTCACGCCAATGGGATGCTACTCAACTGAGATGTACTCACAGTCTCGAAGCAGAATTGTTGTGATGTCGCCGTGTCCATCGTGATGACCGGCTGGTCCGAAACGTTTCGGAGCTCGCAGCGTCGTCGCACAAGTTAAAAAGAGAACGAAACCATCCGACACCAATGAGGCAGCCCGTGCCCCAATCGCCCCTGAGGAATGAAATATGTTTACACATGAGGAAGCTTCAGCGGCCAGAAGCGTACAGCTACCAACGATGTTATCAGCTTAAGATTTATGCTTAGAGACAAGGTGCTTTACTTTTCGAACGTCAGGGTGTTTCCAGCAATTTTAGACTTGCATGCTCCAAAGCCCTGCACTTCCTTCCACGATGGAATAGATCTAGTAAAAAGATACTATGCAACTGTTGCGAGTCTGGCAGGAAATTGCTGCGAAACATTCACGTACGATGAAAATGGCAGGATTGATCAAACCGGACACCAGCGTCAAGGCTGAGAGCCATCCGCTACGGCCATGCATGGCGTACACGCGCAGCGCTGCAAACACTGGCACACATGATTAGGGCCATCAGAGAACGTATAACCAAAAAGATGAATATACCTGCTACACTGGACAAAACTATGAGATCTAACGCCATATTGAACCTGAGTAGAACTCGGCAGCTTGTTGAAAGAGTGTCTTAGACTATCAGGATTTGGAGAGCACACGATAGCGAACAACTCCGACCTCTGCTGAGATGAGTAGGATGGAATATGAGCGTTTAACCATCTGTACTGACTTGATCAGACTGCCATGGCCAAAATATCCGCATCATTATCTCGGCCACCGGGAACAACATAGCGGGATATCTCAGTGTGTAGTAGAGGATCGTGCCGAGTGACAGCTTGGCTTTCCATATGAGTTCTACTTCACGGCTGATGTTCAAGCAATAGTCGTAGTAGCACAGTGCTGGTACGGGACGAGTCAAATATTGACAGGTCCAAGCACACTGAGTAGACTAACCACTGATCGAGAAATACATATAATTCGATAGCGTGACGAATGTTGTGATGAATTGCCTTCCAGTAGTATCTGAGTGTTGCTTTCTATACTGGCGTTGTCTAGAACCACTTACTCGGCCTTTTGTTCAGCAATAGACATATTCAAACGAAGAGTGAGGAGTGAGAAGAACCAGTAGACCTACATGACGCACCTTGTTAAGCGGTAGATATACTTCCCTTGATTGGCTGTCATGCGCTTCCTAGGCAACAGCCTCCATCTCGTCAACACATCCACCTGGAGAACAGAGGCCATATGAACAAAAAATACAGCACATATAAGTTTCACACGAAAGCCGTACCTTGATACGTGATTCGCCCCTGAGATGCACAATGGACGTCGTTAACGCGAGCATGGCAGGCAATAAAAAGACCTGATAACCGAAATTAAGTTATGCCACGTTGAAACCTCGCAGTGCTCCCATCGAGTCAGTATCAAGATCGAAGGATGACTGAGGGACATCGGGGGTTCGATGACAGCAATGCCACGCAGCGTCTCTTGATATGCACATCGTGGCCTCAAATTCCACATAGCCCCGTCAGTCTGCGCATCGGCGTCAGAACCTTAGCGCAATGGCAACGGGTCTGTGCAGATCGGTGTTAACGAGGCATGTCCCAAAGAACTCATTTTTGTCCCAGCGCCAGACGCATTTAGTGTGAAGATGAGATCCGGATGTGGCATACTCAAGAGGTGGACTATCAAGCAGTCCATTCCGGGAAAGGTTTGATGAACCGTAGGTGATGGTCGGCATCTCCATATCATCTTTAGATAGGACACAGCACTCGTGGGTGTATAAACCAGTAGCCGTGCTCATGCAAAGCCTCAGCAGGGCGATACGCAATGATGCGATTGTATGCATGTTATTCTTGAGCTGATAGCATGATAGTCTCCATTTGAACTTCGAGCTAGCACTATCACTGTGACATGAGTGTTGATCGTACATGTGAACGACTTACATATCGGGTGCGATTAGCTACATATGTGCCGTTAGTGTTTAGGGTTGATCTCGAGACCTCAGAAAGAAAGGGAAACCCATTGTACGTCCGAGTCTACATGAGCGATAACAATTCCCACAGCATTATAAGGCGCGGTCACATGCCTGTGTATTTAGCCGACGTTGCAGAGACGCGTTGATTTGAACGACGCGACGCGCTCACGTTGTCGCCACGCAAGCGCCTCTTCTACTCACGATGAAAAACAACTCTACAATTACCTATGTGAGAGATATATTCCGATGAAGATGCTTGAACGAGCTACTCATACATAATCCCGGAGACGTCAGGAAGCTCACTGTATTTCTCAAGGAAAATGGCGACAAAGAAGGGACTTTTATTGCAACATCACCGGCATAATCGCGCGAGGATACAGGAGGATACGAACTACCTCGCGCGCGACTACATATGATCAGTGTCTGACCCAATAATATTGTGAGCTCTGCGCGCAATGAAGAATCTTGAAGCTTCATCTCGTATATCCCATTGAACACAAAGCACTGCAATTGGCGGCGGCAAGAGCGATTTTCGCGAGCCGCGAGTCTTGCCAGACGTCGAATATACAGTATCCATTGCATCGAAAGCGGCTGGCACGTAGTGCGATCTGGCACTTATCTGTGGTAATGATATAGTACTCAATAAGATGATGTCATGTCTGCGATGGTATGTCTGCGATGGTACACGCTTCATGTGAGCGGTACTCATGCGTATAAAGGGCCTCCAATGCCATCGACAGAGGAGCTATTCATCTCCCTCCAGTCCTTTCATAAAGCTTGGCTGCTCAGTACTGCTTAAATGATCTCGCGGCACGTACCACGCTCCCCACACAGCATACTTCACCTTGCTAGCAAGAAGCTTCGAGGCCACCAACAACGGTGTCGATATCGCGAATGACAACGCGAAAACGACAGGGACTATTCCAGGTCTGTCCCGACAGAGTGTGACGGAAGAAGAAAACACGTCTCGCTTACCTTCTCCGCGTTGCATCTCATTCGTGCCCGATGTTTGTACGCCTTGGCACTCTCATACATGACGTCGTGACCTCTCCGACTCACGTTTAGTCAGGAATATCCTCCGGTGCCATCCGTCGCGCTCAAAATAGACCAGAGGACAGTCGGGGAACACCCAAGAGGCTCGGCTCCAACTCGTAGACGTCAGGGAGTCCGGGAACAACAAAACAGCCTCCGCAAGAAGGTCTGCGACGGAGGCCCGCTCACGTGCGAGCTTCCGTTTCTTCACGACAGATTATGAAGGTGCGTGCGTAGAATGGCTGAAAGTGCTTATGATGAAGTGCAGCAGCGCAAAGGTCTGAAGGACAGGGGAATCGGGCGGCTAATGGACGCGTCGCTCACGTGATCGCGCAAGGATCGAGTCGAGGCTGGATCGCTTCCGCTGTCTAGAGCTCTGGAATTCGTCCTGTCCTCCCTCCTTTGTTCCTGTGATGCCTCACGACGCAGGGGCGGGCTGTCTGAATACCTGCGCAGGCTGTTATCGCACGCCTAGATCTCTCGGCGGAACCAGGTGGCCTGTCTTCTAGCATCTTAGGTAGTTCTCGCCCTGTCTGGCTTCCTCAAGGCCATACGAATGGAGAAGATCGTAGCGCTCCCGGATTGAAGCTGCAGCTATCTGATGACAGGTTCAAGGCATGGCCAGGCGGCGGCGAGGTCATCTGCGCAAAATTTGTATTACTCCAGAGCATACTCCGCCTTCCTCGACGTCGACTAGTGCCGCATCGGGTGGGCCGGGTGCTTCGATCACACAACTCCAACTTATGGTGGACGCTGCCGGATCCTCCTACGGACAGGCACGGGCAGCATCACGGACTTCAGCCCCTTGCGCGGATATAAAGGTCGTCGGGGAAGCAGCTGACTTTCCCCATTCCTACCTCCCCTACCATCACCACCACTACACTACTACAACGCCATGTCTCCGAACTTCCAAATCCCTAAAATCCAGAAGGCCGCGATTGTCGAGGCGACCGACGCACCGCTCAAGCTCGTCGACAACCACCCCGTACGTCAACCCTCCGAGCTCAAGCCCGGCGAATGTCTCGTCCGCCTTGAATGCAGTGGTGTCTGCCACACCGACCTGCACGCACGCAAAGGCGACTGGCCTTCCCCCGCCAAACTCCCGCTCATCGGAGGTCATGAGGTGTGTGTGTCCGCTTGGACTAGGGAGACCGGAGATTGACCGGCTCGCCGGGCAGGGTGTCGGCCTCATCGTTGCGATTGGCGAGCACACCCAGGACTCCCCCGTAAAGCTGGGCGACCGTGTCGGCATCAAGTGGTTGGCCTATTCGTGCCTTGACTGCGAGCAGTGCAGAAAGGGACTCGAGCAGAGTGCGTCACCATGACGTCATGTCATATCTGGCTCATACTGACTGGCTCTGGCTGATCCAATCTTCCAGGTTGTCCGAACAACTTGTGCAGTGGCTTTACCACCGATGGAACGTTCAGCCAATATGTTGTGTCTTGGGTCCGCCATGTCACGCCCATCCCCGAGAACTTGGAAAGCTTTGAGGCTGCGTCCATCCTATGTGCTGTGAGTTGTTGCGTGTTTGGTGGATTTCCTCGAGGTGTTGATGCATCGCGCCCAGGGTGTCACCGTCTACCGTGCGCTGAAGTACTCGCAAGCACACATCGGTGACTGGATCGCTTTGCCGGGTGCTGGTGGAGGACTCGGTCACCTCGCCATCCAGTATGCTACCTCGATGGGTCTGCGTGTCGTCGCCATTGGTAAGCTTAGTCGCCCACATGACACTCGCGCACATTACTGACCTACTCCTCCACAGACACCGGCGAGGAGAAACGCAAGCTGTGCGAGCAGCTCGGCGCGGAGAAATGGGTCGACTTCCGCGAGTCAAAGGACATCGTGAAGGACATCATCGCCGCGACCGACGGCCAAGGCGCGCATTCGGCCGTCGTGACTGCAGCGACGGGCGCGGCCTACGCGCAGGCGGTCGACTACCTGCGGAACGGCGGGACGCTGATGGTCGTCGGGCTGCCGGCGCACGCGTCGCTGAGCGCAGATATCTTCTACACGGTCACGAAGAGCATCAGCATCCTTGGGTCGTACGTCGGGAACCGGCAGGATGCGCGCGAGGCCCTCGAGATCGCGTCGCGCGGGAAGGTCAAGTGCTTCTTCCAGCGCCGCACGCTGGCTGAGCTCACAGAGACGTACGAGGGCCTTGAGCGCGGCGAGATCGTTGGACGTATCGTCCTCGACATGCAGGACTGAGCGGTCCGCCTCCAGCGCCACGACTCGGCCAAAACGCGGCTCTAAGGCTATGTAATTTCACCCTGTACACCATCCCCGCTTCTTGTGACCTCCGCCTAGCCTAATCCTGTAGCATCAGCCGCGAGTGGACTTGTACGATAGACGGCGACGATTTGTTGTTTGAATGCGATAGTGGATGCCTTTCTGCGGAGATCTAGACACGATTGCAGAATAGAATCGACCTCTAAAACTTCAATTTTGTCGGTAAAGCTTATCTGTGTGGCCTCGAAACGACTGTTGCCGCACTGTTGAACGCCGACGAGTCTAGATTGTCACGGTCGCATCTGGAGGCGGGTCCCCTCGTCCAGGCCAGATCGAGCGTTGTAGATGTTGTTATCGAGCTCCGCTCTTTTCTCGTTGGCTCAAACATGGTTGTTCTGCTTACCTCATCTGTTCCCCGCCCTCGTATGAGCGCTTTCCTTCTGCCCAACGGCACGACACAACGGCTTTGCTTCAGAGTCCGACTTGCATCTGCAAACTGTCCGCTTCCTACCGGAAGGCATTCAGCTGTAACGCAAGCATTGAAGGCAATGAAATATCCAGCTTCGATCTTGCACTCCTTTCTCATGATCGACGATCGCCTTCATCAACTTGCAAGTAAACATCGCAACATCTCCCAATTACTATCCTTTGCGCTTCTCTTCCATAACCTCGTCTGACTCTCAGCAGTTCTTCATGGCTGAAATACTGCCCAGTTGCCGGTCACTGGACAATTTGTACATCTTAATAGCTGTGAGCCAGTGGAGGTGCCTCACGGAGGCCTTTCAGCAACACTCGACACAGTATTGCAGTGATTTCACCCTTCCGCTCCGGGGCGACAAATTCAAGAACTATAACTGACAGATGTCAAAGTGCATGGCCAGCTGACCTTCTTGAGCGTTTTGGAGTGACAGCATATGCGAGCGTCAGGGTGAGGTACGTATTCTGTGATGGCCTTCTGCCGCCAGTACGAAACTCGTGACGACAATATTCGATAGACATTGACAGGAAGTAGGTACGCGAAAATCAAGACCTCTACGACGATAGCTAACAGGGGGGGGGGGGGGTTCCTGTGGCAGTTGCTCGTGGACCCCGACTCATTGCGGTCCAAACTCAGGCTTCTAGCAGCTGCATCGGAGTCTTGTCGCCTCAGACTACCTCCCATTATGCCGCAGCATGTTGTCAGAGCGGACTCAGTGCCTAATACAGAGACGGTACCGACGGGCGATAAGCGATTCGAGGTTTGTAAAATACCGTCTTTCAGCGCCGTGTTCTCACCATCAGACGCGCTTAGCTCTCCGTCGCCAGCTCCAACTGTTATCAGCCTCGAATATGTCACGGACCCCACCTTCTATCTCGTACAGCGCAATACCGCTAGCGAAATAGAAGCTGGAGCAAGCCCAAAAGTTAGAAAAGCAGTGGCCCATTGGCCGTAACTCTGGATCTGCCGCTACTCTCCCCTGGGTGTGTCTCTACTCACCTCATTGAACGACCATGGCGACACCTGCAGTTGCCCACAACGACCTCGTACCTGGCACAGTCCATCTTGTCGATGTCGCCGACGAGGCCCAGAACGCGAAGCACGCCGCCGATCGCAAGGACATTGTACTCGTCCCGCGGCCAAGCGCCGATCCGGAGGACCCCCTCAACTGGTCACGCAGGCGCAAATCTCTCGCCATCGGCCTGGCATTTTTGTATACAGGCGTTGGGATCGGCATCCCTTCTACCTTGCACTACAGCGTGCTTGCGGACATCACGCGCGACACCGGCATCACGACGGCCCAGCTCGTTCAGGGAACGGGCCTCAACTTCCTCCTAACCGGGTGGGCGTGCCTCCTTTGGCAGCCTGTCGCGCTGACATATGGCCGCCGCGGCGTGTACGTGATCTCTTGTCTCTGCATGGTCCCGATCATGGTGTGGACCGCATATACGCGCACGGCCGGGGAATGGTACGCGAACCGCATCCTCCTCGGCCTGTTTGCCTCACCCGTCGAGTCGCTGCCCGAGGTCTCCGTGCCCGATCTCTTCTTCGCGCACGAACGGGGGACGCATATGGGGATGTACGCATTCATCCTCTTCGGGTCGAATTTCGTCTCTCCCCTTATCGCGGGCTGGTTCAACGACGCGTACGGCTGGCGCTGGACGATGCTCTTCGGTGCCATCATCTCGGCGGTTTGTGCCGTCATCCTGTTCTTCGGCTTGGAAGAGACCATATACTTCCGCAGTACGGTGGAAGGGCAGGAGCTCGAGATTGCCGATTCGAGACAGAGTGTGGAGGCGAGCCTTGACTCGGACGAGAAAGATGGGAAGGACACCAAGATGGACGACGTCACCCATAATTCGGTCACCACAGTCCCCTCCTTCCCACCTCCACGCACATACTGGCAAAAGCTGGCGTTGTTTGTCCGCATGCCCGGACGTCCGAGCAACAAGCAGATGTTCACGATGATGTACCGCCCGCTGCTCATCATGCTCTGGTTCCCGTGCACAGACTGGGCAGGCTTCCTCTATGGTATCAATCTCTCATGGTACAACGTGCTTAACGGCACCGCGTCGCCTGTACTCTCGGCACCCCCTTACAACTGGCCTTCAGCACTCGTTGGATCCGCGTATGTGGCGCCCATCATCGGCGCGGCTATCGCTGCCGTCTGGTCAGGCACAATAGCGGACAAACTCACAATTCGCCTCGCACGGCGCAACAAGGGCATCCGTGAGCCCGAGCAGCGTCTCTGGCCACTCTTACTGTCCGGGACCATGGCCACCGCAGGTCTCATCACATGGGGCGTCGGCGCGTACTACGGCGTGAGCTGGGTCGGTCTGTGCTTCGGATTGGGGATGTTGACGTTCGGTGTCGTCACCGGAGGATCGATCGCGATATCATACAACGTAGACTGTTTCAAGGAATTAGGAGGAGAATCAATGATCAGCGTGATTATCATTCGCAAGTACGTGTGTCTTCCCTGTCCCGGGACCATGTGACTGACATCGTCCAGCACGCTTGGGTTCGGATTCAGCTATGCCATCACGCCTTGGTACACGAATCAGGGATTGAAGAACTGCTTCATTGCCGCGGGCTTCGTGTCCTTGGCGTGCACGTTCTCGTTCCTGCTGATGATCGTGTTTGGCAAGAATCTACGGCGATTCTCGCGGGAGAAGTACTGGGAATATGTTGCGACGAGTGTGGTCGCAGTAGACCATTGAAGGATCCTCTTGCGGATAGAGAAGGCAAAACAGGTCAGTTGTGTAGATGTTGGATTGCTGTCCGGCTGAACAAGTGCCTACACAGGGAGGTCACGCTACTCGCCACCGGCGGATGTTTTGATGCTCCACCCCAGGCGAATAGCCGATGAGTCTGATGATAGGCGCCGAGCCCCGCTGGGCCCCGATACACCTCTTTTCGGCACTCACATCCCGCCCGGCACTTCGACTCAGTCTCCCAACACTTCGATTTCGCCTTCGACGCTCTTCGACACCTTCGACGGTGCGCGACGCTTACTCGAAGCTCGGCACGGTCGTCCCGATGCCTCGCACGTAGATCCCGGGACATCTTCCGCATTCGGCGAACAATAGGGCCACTTAACGCCGCTCGGCCAAGCGCGCGCTTCGCTCCAAGCCACACCGAAGTAGCCGGTCTTTCCCGATTAGGTATCGAACCTCGCGGCATGCCTTCAACGACGGATACCAGTCCGAAGTGGCCATATGTTGCCCTTCATCTCCGCGTTCGGCATGATGTCACTCTACCGATGGACTTGATGCGTGCCACTCGGTGAGGCAGCTTCTTGAGGAACAATGCAAAGCCCCTTGTACCAGTGTGCCACTCTCGAATAGTCGTAGCGTCCTGTGTAGTATAAAACCTGTCGTACTTCTCTCTAAAAATACAAGATCCGGTTCCCCCCTCGAGTTCAGAGCTCAT